GTGCCTTTTTCATGGAGTTTAACACAAAGACTAGGAAGAAGAAGGGATGTGCAGATGGCGCAGCTACAGCCGCTTGCCAACTTGTTGCTTTGACTCCTAGGGATGGAAGATGGATCAGGAGCTCTAGAGAACTAGCTTGTGGCTGCAGCTGTAATTTGCACCAAAGATCTCCAAAGTATGCAAGTCGGCGAACTTATGGAAATCCGTCGATTTGGAAGTTCCGAGGCTTCCTTGTCCTGATCACCATGGGCCAGCGGCTTTCAAGAGGTTATGAGGCGCCAAGAAGCCAATTTCCAATCTGGGATCGGCTGTGACCTCTCAGGGGTGTTCAAACGAACCGAAGTAACATTAACTGTGAAGATCTCGGAGCGTCAAGACATCTTGACAATTTTGGGGATGCGCTACATAATGTTGAATGTTGCTTGTAGGTGCATGATCATGACCATTTGCCTGATGATTTGCTAGTGGGGTTGTCAGCTGGCTCAATTCATCATATCATAACATTCTTGGTATTCTTTGAGTTCCGAGCGCTTCCTTGCAATCACTGCTTGCTTGGTTGATGGCTTTCATTGGTCGTGCTTTTCAAGCCTGCGCTGAAGGATTGCTAGTAACAAGAAGCTACTAGTAGCAATGCACTTGTTACTAGTATGCTGGGTGAACTTTGCAGGCTAGTGACCATTCGAACGAAGCTCCCAGGGCTGAACGAGCGTGGTACTCGGGTGGTCATTGTTTCCTCTTCTTGGGTGCACCCATTCGTGTTTGACAGACCCATCTCCTTTCCGCACACACTCGTGCCATCCATCGGCACCACTTTGTGAGGAGGAGAGCTCCAGCATTTTCACCTCGCTACGAGGACATCGATACGAGAGAGCACCCGTAGAGGAAGAATGAGCGGCCAAAGATGCCTGGAATTGGGACGTTGTTGAGTGGCCAGATTGCCCTCAGCATTGAACTCCCTGAGCTTGCCTTCTTGTCTCGGGCCAGATGTCTGATCAGAAAAAGATATGCCAAACGCAACTCAAGCTTTTTCTCCAAGGCTTTGTGATGTGGCTCTTTGTCCTGCATAGTTCACCTTTATGGCGTTGGCTTGACGGCATGTACCAAAGTGTTCTGCCATCCTTTAGTCATGGAATCGCATTTCTGCAATCAGACCGTGAAACGATCTGGGCGCAGAGCCGAAATTCTTGGCGCTCTGCTAAGACCTTCCATCAAAGCCTCCAGCCTCAGCAACCCTTTGCCCAACATTTGAGCAAAAAATATCCATTTGTCTTGGGTGGGATGCTAGAACAGCTGGTTGGCACTTTTCTGTGTCGGCTCCATCGTCCTCTGCCATGAGGTCACAGCCGTTCGCAGTGATATGACTCACCTTGATTTCAAGCTGACGCAGGGCACTGTCATCAAAAGGTGCTGTCACCCGGTGGTTCAGAGTCATTGACGAAGCCTTGAACAGTTCAGAGGCCAAGAAGCAGCTTTCCAGGCTGTTGCATATGAGTGAAACATTTCCCGGGTGATTCGCCATCTCGATTATGATTCTTTGGAGGTGTGTTCGGCACTTTCCTGAGAGGACAAACTGCATTGAGGCTTAAGGAATAGGACACAATAGAGAGACAAAGAGTCGATCCAACAAGCAAATGTATCGGTTGCTCTGAATGTTGTCAATGCAATTTATTTTGTCCTCATGTGGGCCGAGACTTGCTCACCAGAAGGAAACCTGGGGTTTTCTTTGCTCTTGCAGCCATGCAGCAGGACTGACTGCACATGGGGTACATTTGGGGGTGTACACTGGGGTGGGCATGGATACCGCCAGGGCACCCGAACCTTCCTACAACAAGTCTCGATTATGATTTCGGAGCAGGCCAGACAAAAGAGATCACCTATATAACCATCCAGCAAAAGTGAGAAACGCTTGAAGTCTAGGGAGGTGTCGTCCTGTGAAAGCTTACTTCGCATCATAGTGCCCAAGCATCCCTCAAGAAAACTGATGCAGTATGAGGAGTAACCGCAAATATTCTGTGATGTGGCTACGTAGATAATGGACAAATAACATACTTAAGCAAGGTGAAACTTGAAAGACCATCACTGAGAAGGCTCACCTGGTTGAAAGCAGCGCTGTTTAGGACTATTCAATACTTGTTGGTGAACTTGCGATGTTGCCATTGCCCAAGAGGTGGGTGCATGCCCAGCTGTTGGGCAGCTCGTGGGGTCTACCCACCCACGCACCCTCCCACCCCTAAAAAGGGATGCGTGATGGGGCGAACACTTGTTAGTGTCATTGATTGGCCCACACTTCGGGATGGAGGTGGCAGCAGTCAGGCAGGTGCTTTTTCATTGCCGCCTTTGTGTTGATTCATGACGTTTTGTGTGAGAAGAGCAGGTTTTGCTGCAAGTAGGGTTAGGTTGACCAGCCGTACACGACGCTGACTTCGTCGCTGCTCGCGAGGAGAAGCGGCGCAGCTTGCACCAGGAGCGGCGACTCCGGAGCAATGCGGAGCAAGAGGTGCCGCTTGGAACGTTTGATTTGTAGAAAAAACATGAAAAAACCAGGCATGTTCTTCTGGCAAGTGATGCCTGGGCCAGTTTGGCCTGTTTTGGCCACATCCAAAAGGAAAGGACGAAGGTCACACGTTCATTCTCCATCATATTAGCCTACATACAACTTTGTGTGCATAGTCACGCATTCGTTTGGCCAGACTTTGTTAAGAAAGATGGGTTGACCTTTGAGGCAGCGCGCTTGCGAGAGCAACTGTCAGTGCTTGTGAAGGAAGCAGGTGCCCGGAGACGAACTTGTGCAAAGTCAACTGGGGGACTTTGGGTTCGTGGCATTTGTTTGGCCGTGGCTTCAAAATAGGGAGTCTACAAAATCCCCAAATTGACGAGGTGGACATTGAATTTTTCAGCTCTTGTGCTTGTCATCCACATTTCGGTGCTTGTCATCCTGCCTTAACCTCCACTCGTGACATCTACGCGCGGTGTTGCAGGGGTCCATTGCCGAAGAAAGTTACCATATGGACATGAAGAAAAGCCGGTTCCTGATTGGTTTGTGCATGGGCTGCAGGAGATACATCATTACAGTGCAGAAGGGCTGGGGACATAGCAACATAGCAGCCTCATGTGTGTTTTCAATGGAGATCAGAGTTTAGCTCCAGGGGACATGTGGGAAGCCATGGCCCCATAGAGAAGCTCGGAGACATTCAAAACATTTCTACAGCATGCCGATTCAGATGAACAAATGATAGGGTCCGCACAAATTTAGGCATGAACACGCTTGGTCACCGGTCGACATCAGGCGCTGGCAGCGTTCTATTGGCAGCCGGACAATTGGCAATGGCGTCTGGGGCCAGTTGTTAGCGCCGGTAGGAATGCTGAGGGTTCAAGCAGATACGCGTTGAGCAGTGGAGACAAAACTCCGGGTTTCCTTTGGTTTCAACTGATTTTGCATCAACCTAAGCGCCCAATCTCCAGCATGTAGAATGACCTGGAACTTGGCCTATCGCCAGGGCCCTTGTCTTACTCAAGAGGCTTTGAAGGCTTCTGAAAAGCAGGCGGGGCTCGACTGACCAGCGACATGTTGGTGGAAGGGGGTGCCGTTTGATCAGCAGTGCTTTTCTGTGCTAACCTGTTGGACAGGAGGCGAGGTATCCCAAGAACAGCCTGGCGGCAGAGGTGAGGAGCTGTGTGGAGTCGTGGTTCGTTGAAAGGTGAACTTAAATGAACTAAATAAAGAAGAACCTACTAGCGATGGCCTCCAACCTACTACAACCTACCAGCGATGGCCTCCGAAGATGCTCTTACCACAGTCACCATGAACCAATGATTCGAGCTGAGGCATTACAGTGGAAACGCTTGGCAGCCCATCGAGGAAAACTCTGGGAGCAGGTGGCCCTGGCGAAAGCTTACACCAACAGTAGAGATGCTTGTTGAGGTGCGTTTGAATGTGAGTTTGGTGGACTGGTGACGACGTGACGCACCAGAATCTAATGTTTTTCTGACGCACCAGGGAAACTCTAACTCATTGTGAAGGGGAAGAATAGATGGGTTCATAGGTTGATCTATGGAGATTTCCATGAAGACCCGAAGACCCAGTTGCTGCTGCTTGTTGTGACTCAACGGAATTTATGTCTGTCAGACGTGTGTGGAGGATCCCATAGATTTCAGTAAGGCTCAGCGCAGAGATTGGCGCACATCAGCCGCTGTTCAGGGCTCACAGTGCGTGAGAGTCCAGTCAACATGTTGGTCTACCGCTTTTGTGAGATATGTTCTACACATGTTCTACACATCTACACAGCCTGGGGATGGATGTTTACTTGATCATTGAAGCGATAAACGGTTGCGTTGTTGCCTTTGTTGTGAGGCTTGAGCGAATAACCCCTGACTCCCCAGTGCGTTGCATTTGGACATAGGCCGCGCCTAGACAGGCTGAATCAATCGTCTACAGTACCCTTATGGTTGATTTGCTTCGTAACATCCACTCAACTCTGGCCATGCGAAAGCATTTGACTTTTGCCGCGAGAGATGCTTTGAGCTCTGTGTCCTCTCCTTTAGAAACCGTGCGAGACAAAAACGACAGCAATTCTACTGTATAATGCCAAGGAAGTTCGGGTCGTGTGTGACACTGAGGATCATGGCAGTAGGCATCGTTCTGTTCTCGTTCCTTCATGTTTGAGCCATGCCCAGGTTGAAGTAACAAGTGTGGTAAGAAGTCATCAAGAGGAGCATACGTATTTGGAGTAGGTATGGGGTGTCTTCACAGCGACTCTCGGGAAGCCGACCCCGTTTCATATCCCTTTCATTTGCGAGACACCTCTTGTTTCTTTTGAACATCACTCTTTGTTGACCGACCGGCGAATCGAGCCCTTGAGTCAGTCCCTTACCTTGGTATGAACAACTCTTGGGCTTGTGGCCGTTTTTTGTCAGCTGTTTTGCTGGTGTTTGTTCAGTGTTTGTGGGATCATTGAGGTCAATGCTTTCAAGCAGCATGGTCTTGTTGCGTTTGCAACTGGATGGTCCCAGGGAACGAAAGTTCAACATCGACAGCAAGAAGCCGTCGGGCTGCTTTCGTACTACCTGGAGAAAGCCAAGCAGAGAGGGTTTGGACTTGGCAAAGAGACTGGTTTTCGCGAGTTTGTGCAGAAGGACCAGAGCCTAGGTGTTCAATGGATTTTAATGGCCGTTGTTGTTGTTGTTGTTGTTGCTGTTGGTAGAGACAAAAACAGCTGCCCAACATAGTTGTCACATGTTGCAAGTCAGGGATTTCAAAGGGACACTGTTCGGAATAGGGTCAAAGGTTTGGATCACAAAACAACAACGGGGCTGCAGATTTTGTTTCTAGGGGGGTAGAGACAACAACATCTTTTGAGGGGGGTTCCAAAAAAACAACAACGGGGCTGCAGTTTTTGTCTCTAGGATGTGGTAGAGGTTCTAAGTCGAAGTTTTACAGAGGCTTAGCTGACCGCACTACTACTACTACTACTACTACTACTACTACTACTCCGACGCGGCGGCGGCGGCGACGGCGACGGCGACGGCGACGGCGACCTCGACGGCGGCGGCGACGGCGATGGCGATGGCGACTTCGATGGCGACGGCGGCGGCGACGGCGACTGGCACTAGCACCACTACCGTACCACTAGTACTACTAGCACTCGCACTAGTACTAGGACTACGACCACTAGGATTAGTACCGCTAGCAACAGTACTGTTTCCATCTATTATAGTTGCCACTAGCACTAGGACCACTAGCGCAAGGACTACTACCGCTTTTCACTGGCACCACTGGCACTAGAAGTACCACCTCTACCATCAGTACTATTGCCACTAGCTCTAGTACTACCACAGACACTAGCACTAGTACTACTACCACTACCACTACTGACTACTGGTACGAATACTTGTTGGCTGGTTGTTTTCGGGGGAGCGGGAGCCTGCAGTTTTTGTTTCCACCCCCTGGCAGGAAGAAGATATGTTGTGACGGGTTGCAGTTTTTGGTTTGTACCTTGTTCTTCTCCTTCTTGTTGTTGTTGTTGTTGTTGCTGCAAGTTGTTTGCCTTGATCTTCACCCCGATTGGATGTAAGCACGTGCCAGCGTCCCTGAACCGGGAAAATGTCATGCATTTGTGTGGAAGAGTCTACTCAGTCTTTGAAGACAGCAACAGATTCAAGTCAATAACAGGCGCAGGTAAGGCCAAAAACTGTGTATGCCTGGACATGGGCTTTGGCCGCATTGTCAGCAACGTCGGCCCCGGGTGAGCCAAAACCACACACATCTTCTCCGGCGTTGTTCGGGTGCTGCTAGCCCGTGGAAGTCCACCAAACCCAAGTGCAAATTGATGGCTTTGGTGCTTGGGGTGGGTTCCCCCATATCGGGACATCACTCCTTGTATCAGACACGTCGGGATTGGTGTTCTGAGTGTGGTTTCCTTGTTGTTGGCGCGCACGGTTCAGGACTCGATGTGGGCAGCTATTGAATTGAGGCATTCTTATATTCCAATGCTGCTGATGCTTTCAAAGAACATAGGATGGGTTATGGAAGAGCTGAGGAACCGTTACGACGTGAACTTGGATCATGCGCCACCCGCTGGTCCTGGCCGAGAATTCGCTTTGGCCTTGCGAAGGGATGTAGAGGCAGCCTTGGGCGTGGAGTTCTTCGAGGCGGTCTTAGGCAAAGGCTACAGAGCTAATGCGCAGGGCTTGGTGATCTCGAAGTGCGGTGCGCCAGCGCAGGCGTGGAGTTGGAGTTGAAGATGTGTTGAACGGCGTTTGTTCAAAATGTTTTGACTCCGTGGAATTTTCAGCGCCCTGGCGCTGGGTCAACTGGACCGACTCACCGTTCTGTCTGTTGGCCGAGGCTTGGCACGTTGACTCATCCCACTTGTTTGTGGGCATCAAAGACCTTCCTTGTCACTTTGTGACGGTTTTTTGCCCGCTCTATGGAATGGAAGAAGCCATCGGCCCTACAGAGTTCATTTTGGGGTCTCAACACTTCACACATTGGCTGCCCACTTTGGAGGTATCTGACCAGTATCCTCCAGAGGAGACCGTTGAGCTGATCAGATCTGAGGCAAAAACATGGGCTTCGGATCTGGGAGAGGGAGAGATTCAGATGGACTGTGAAGCTGGTGACATTGTGGTCATGGATGGCCGCCTACTTCACAGAGCGCAGGCAAACCGTTTGCCCGAGTCAGTGCGGTCCTTGGCATACTTCTCCTTTTGCAGGCCTTGGTATTACGAGTGGCCACGATCCCAAGCAGAAGACCGCTTCCTCTTCACGAAGTGACAAAGATGTGTCGACGCAGTATCATTTGATATTGTTTGAGCAAAAGACGTGTCATCGCTTGTGCTGAGATGGATGTATAATGATGTTGATGTTTACAAAATGATGTAATTCATGTCAAACGGTGCTGAAAGGTTCGCACAAGTGACAGTGGGGCAACCGCCGTCAATTTCCTTTTGCAGCGTCAAGCACTCGCAATCAAACTCGTCGCTTGTGCCAGGAGAAGGTGCAGGCCGGAAAGATCACACAGGCCATCGATTTTCGGTCGCTGAAGCACAGCGCGTCCTTGCAACTGGCAACTGGGGCTGCAGGGCACTTGTCTCATCGTGCATACCTGAGTGTTCAAGTCTGCGAGTCTTTTTGCGAATTCGGAGGTCTCAGTTGGACCATGTCACACATCGCATCTTGAGTACGTCAGGCCGAGTATGCCGGTTCGGAAGCGCGGCAAGGCTTCCATTCCAACCAGAGGACCGAAACGCCGCCCGTGGAGGGTGGGCAGCAAATTACATGCGATCGGTGTGTGGATGTTATGTCGATAGTTTATCAGTCTTGGGCAGGACTCGTGCCGCGATGGTGCGGGAAGCTCAAGGTTCTTTTCGCTTAGGAGGCGGACGTCGCCAGAACATGAGAAGCAGACAGACGGGGTTGATGCATCTTTTTTCGGGGGCACATGGGCTTTTGTTGACCTGACCTTGCCAGGTTTCGATTCGTGAGGTTGCCCTGCCACTTGGGAAACCGGCTCTCTTCCAGCGAGCCAGTGAAAGTGAGTTTCCCGGGCCCAGTAGATGTAGACAATGTAGACTTTCAAGCCTTACTGGAGAGCTCAAAAGTTGGGCTCTCCTAGGATGCCGCTAAGTCGAAATAACTGATGCTGCAGACGCCTGGCAAGCGGTTTTGTGATCATTCTTCTTGAGAAGGATGGGCTGGAAAGGTCCCTTGCCTTCACGCGGAAGTCAATTCAATCCACCCTTCAAAAGACCTAGTTACTTCCAGAACTCAAGAGTCATGCTGTTCACTAGTCTTTTCTTTTCACGAGGCATAGTTTTTGAAGCTTCGCCATTTATGGTGGCTCGTTTTACCTCATGAGCGAGACTTTGTGAACCATCCCTCCAACAGCCCCATGCCTACGAAAAAGGATTTGCCTCACTCCGCTTGATGTCCCACCAGTCCTTTGTCACTGGACGGCGCTGTATGCTTCGCCTCCACTGACACGGATGCATCCCTGCTAGCTTTCGTCACCTACCCTCGGCCTCAAGTCAAACCACTGATGATTCTGAAGATTTGGTGTCTTCTCCGCAGTATTCGGGCCAAGCACTTAGGCCCAAGGTCACAAAGAAACGGACTAGTGCGTGTGCAGCGGCGGTGGAGTCGAGGAAAAACCCTCCCAGCGCTCCCCGGAAGAACCGCAGCTCCATAGGAAAATGCGTATGCGCTTCAGGTGCCAGAGGGCGGTGGTTGAGGGAGAAGGGTTGGCTGTAAAATGGTGACCCTCGAATGGACCAATTTGATTCCCTCTTTCTTTTCAAACCTTTCATACATGCACCGTTTAGAGTCCAGAGTTTCGTTTCCTTGGAGAGCGGCGGCTCTCCAAACCCCACAGGTCCCAGCTCTTTGGGTCCCAGCCTTTAGGTTTTGGATGCTGTAGACTGCAGGCCGAGTCCTTGGGCGCATGGATTTTTTGCGTATCCTGTCAAAGCTGCAGGTGCTTGATATGTGTTTGGGTTTCGGCCTTTGCGCAAGATGAGGCCATGGCCACTTGGTGCAATAGGGTTGAAGGTCGTTTCGCGAACGCTATAATTCCATCGGAACAGTAAACATAGGTGACCGAGTATGCCTCCAAGAAGAGTTGTCGCGTTACAGTTGTTCGTTTCAATACGTGATTGGGGCTTAGTATAGACCATGAGGCCTTTCTGTTCGTGTTTGCTTCAGATCTCTGAGTTGAAGCTCATGGCCAATGAATATGTCTTCTAATCGAAGAACTTTCGACCCAATAGCGCAATGCGTCTTGGTTGGGAGAGAACCCTTCAGTAGGAGCAACGGTGTTGGGAGCCAAGGAGGACATTTTCGCCGCTCTTGGAGAAGAGTTGGAGCACGAGGCCTGCCGGGTGTTGGCGGGTGAATGGTGTGGAGTGTTGACGCCTGCGTGGCTCACTGGGCAGATCGTCGTCTTGCGTTTGAGAAACTTGAAGCTCAGGTTTGACTGCTCTGCCAGGACTGTTCACTCTCGGGCGGACGTGATTGCAAGGGTGGCATTGCGTTCCTGCAGACAAAGTCGGCATACACATGGACGTCCCTGGAAGCCGAGACGGCGACAGCAGCAGTGCCAAGCTTCTTTCAGATGGAGGAGGCGCCGGCGGCGCTTGAAATCCAGGGTCGAGCAGATTTGGGCAACAAGTTCTTCGCTGTTTTGATGTAAAGAGGCGGTTTTTACTAGTAATCAAAGGCAAGTTATTTACAGTGTATATATATATATATAATATCCTCGATAGAATCTTGGAGCTTGAGCTCAAAATGACCCTCAGATTTTATAGACAATTTTCTTATAGAGTCAAATATCAACCTATCTGAAAAAACCACCGCATTTTAAACCTGGGTCCAAAAAAGTCAGTTTGTTCTTTCAACATGGGTGCCAACACTTGATTCTATAGAGAGGGCACGCCATGTCACCAGATTTTATAAAGGTCCTAACCTTTGATTCTATAGAAAGCATCTGGAGTAGTAGAAGGTTGAGAATTGACTTTAGAGTGGATGGTGTGTTGTGAGGTCAGGTAGGTTGATATTTCATTTTATAGTACTGAAAGCTTTTTGAATAATAGAAGGTTGAGAATTGATTTTAGAGTGGATGGTGTGCTGTGAGGTCAGGCCTATAAAATCAAAACCAACCCCTTGAACCACACTTCTCAATTGTTTTACGAAACCAATTTCAACCTTCATATGTCCCCACACTTCTCTATAGAATCAATGCCAACCGTGGCTGTGCATCATGATGCACACCCATACCCTGAGGCACTTGATTCTTTAGAGAACAGGTTTCCAGCACTGCAGGAGGTTGATATTCGATTCTATAGTGGGGCAGACTGCCCTCGGAGCGCCGGTCTTTCATTTTATAACTATCAAATCAAATTTTAAGGTGCACTGGTAATTCCACAGGGGATTATATGTATTATTGTGAAAAATTCAAGGTAGATCACAAGTAGCGTTGTACAGAAGAATTTGTATATTTGACCTGACCGCAGCCCTTTGATTGTCAATAAAAATTCACATGGTAGCGGAGCAAGGATAAGGGTAACCCCCTTTGAGCTCCAGAGAAAAGCCCCTAGGTCACTCGGACCCCGGGAGCGATTTCGAGCCACCGGTTTGCGGCCTTCGGAACCCAAATAGTTGGACTGGTGATAAATTGTTGTGAGCTGGGTTCTGTACCTTCTGTACCCCGTACATTATGTCAGAAGGACATTATTGTGAGGTTGCTAAGGAGATCAGAAATTGTAGCAGAGAGCGCTCAAGCAACAGCATCAGCAGCTGAGGCAGTGAAGAAAGCAGCTAAAGACAAGAAGTCGACAACAACTGATTGGCCAAAGTTGATCACAAAGCCCAATCTACTTGACTACAAGTCACGAGAGGAAGAGATCGAAGCGTTTGGAGAGTGGTCATGGGTACTTGAGAAGTATTTGAGATCAGTCGATGGCTTACATGAAGGACTTGAAAGCGACTCATGACAAGCCAAATGAGAGCTTTGACATGGACTTGGCAACTGGTTGATGAGGGGCAGGGCACTACAATCGGTGAAAGCTGTGGAGGACTCCAATGGGCTTGTGGAGGAGTTTGAACAAAGCTTTGAAGCCTACTTCAAAGGCAAGAGGATTAGCGCTCGTGGGAGCAGCCACTACATGGCCAGCGTTTTCGATGAACAGTGCTCTACAACCTCAACTTCTTAAGCTTGGAGGTATTTGAGGAGACGGTCAAATCAGGAACACCAATTCAAGAAGAGTTGAAATCTGCTGTTCTTCTGAGATGTGTAGGTGGACAGCTCAAATCCTTCTTGTATTTGACAATTGGCGGCAATGTTCAATACGCAACTTTGAGGGAACAAGAATTGCAATGGGCTTCAATGGTTGCAAGTAGCAGTACAGACGATCAAGGACCTATGCCTATCAATGTTGATCGGGTTCAAGATGCCAAAGGAGAGGGCAAGAAAGGCAAGAATGATTATCAAAAGGGTAAAGGTAAGGATGCTAAAGGCAAAGGAAAGAAAGGAAAAGTGCAACAGAAAGGAAAGGAAGGTGAAGGAAAAGGTGTGGCAGCTTGTTACACTTGTGGGAAGCCAGGACATCTTGCTCGAGACTGTTCGAGAAACAATATTCGACAGGTTGCAAGTGATACAGCCCATTCATCTTCAGGAGGAGCTTCAGTGACTACTCATTCAGTTGGTCAACAACGAAGCCAATGTGCGTCAGCAGAGTAGCTCAGCAGATACAAAACCAGTGGTCAGAAGGAACAGTGAGCCAATCATCTTTGACCTTCGAGAAGGACATGATGAGGCAGAAGATCATGGAATTCGAGTGATTCATTCCTACATCGGAGACGATGACGATGAGATGAGCCATGTGAAGAAGGAGAAAGCCTCATTGAGGAAAACTTCATGGAGATTGAGAATGAGGAGTCCAACATTGGGAGACTTGGAGCATGTGGCCATCAGTATTGACAGTGGAGCTGATGTAGCTTTAGTCCCTCTGAGTATGGCAGATCATGGGGAAGGAGAGCTAGAGTTCAATTCAGCTACCAAACCATAAGACGCCCAGGGGACCGTATCCCTGGCACGAGTGCGCAAAGTGTCGAATCTCCTTGCGTGACATTGATACATTGATGGAAGTGAGTCAGCCCATACTTTGCTGTGGAAGGCTGATGGAATGGTTGCGGAATCAACGGTCGAGCGCAGACGTTGGAGAATGGTGACTTGGAGTACCTGAAGTTTTGGAAAGGCAGCAGGTTGGTGGTTCAATGGGCATGGCCTACTAGTTGGAGGCTTATTGGCTTCAAGATTCGTTGATCCCACATTCATTCCAGAAGTGGAAGATTCACCAGAGCTGGTGAGAACCACTTTGGTGAAAAGGGGAGGTAGATGGCTTTTGCTTGAATATTGTGAGAATATGATGAAAAAGGAGGAATTTGATGAGCGTTTCTTTGATGGCGACGCAGTCATTCCTTCAATGACAATCTTCGGCTACGAGCCAACACCGCCAGAAGGTATGGGGTTCTTTGCGCCAGGTTACAAGAAGCTTGAGAATAGAGAGGAGAGAAAGAACCCTTACTCCACCGGAGAAGAAGGAGGTCGAAGACAGGAAAGAAGAAGACCTCGAATGTGAATGTGAGTTGCAATTGAGCCCAATGGATGTAGACAAAGTCTTGGTGAATGGAGTAGAGTTGACTAAGGGCTCTACTTTAGCAACTTTGAGGGCAGCGTGTTCATTTCTCGACCTCTCAGGTAGCGGCTCTAAGTTGAAGGTCTACGCAAAGATCCTGAACCACAACAAGAGAATGGAACTTTTGAACGCCAAAAGTTTGGCGAGTGAAGCAAAAGCTCACGAGACAAGAGAAGCACTAGGACAAAGTGTGGCCAAGATGCCAGATGAAACCACTCACGCGAGGCACAGATTGATGCATCTACCATATTATGCCAATTGGTGTAAGGAGTGCATTGATCCAGACCGCCGTGAGAGAACAGATGGAGTCAAGAGAGGAAGTATTCCTGAAGTGAGCCTTGACTTTTGCTACACTAGAGCACGAGATTCAGGTACAAAGTCAGCAAGAGTGGAAGTAGGGTGGACTATGGCGGCAGAGTGAGCTAAAATAGCAACGAGAAGGAGTGTGAAGAACTATCAAAGTAGATCATAAGTAGCGCTGTACAAAATAACTTGTACACTTGACCTGACCGCAGCCCTTTGATTGTCAAGAAAAGTTCGCAAATATACACATATATATATATATTTGCGCTTTGTACATACATATCCATCTAGAATATTGTCCATCTCCAGCACGGAAGTCAGGTCACCAGTCAGGTGGGCGTGGTGCACGGCGCTTCAAGTGCCACAACTGCGATGGTGGGAGAGGTTCACATGGATCGCTCGCGGCAGATGCGCCAGTGGCAGGCACACTGGTTTGGGGGATGCCACTAAGCGGGTTTGTCGGATTTTTTCCAGCTTTCAATGGCCAGAGATGGCCGGTTTGCACAATTTTTGGACCAATGAATATGTGTCTGAAGTCCTTCGCCCAGGAGGATGCCATCGAGATTTATGCAGAGACCCACGCCCAATCGGCCAATTCAGCTGCCGCTGCTGTGACGGTGGCCACGATCTCGGAGAGCCGAGGAGCATTAGCCAAAATGCCCCTCCGCCTCCGATTTTGTTGTATGAGTCCAGAAGTAATCCGAAGATACTAACCCAAAGTTTTAACACATCTCATGAGACAATTCCGTTTATGATACCTGGTAGATCGTGGTAGTGCACGTTCTGGTTTGCTTTCGAGGTTGTATGGATTGTTGCCAGTTTTTGAACCTTTGTGCCTTAGTTGTGCCTTGGGGCCCATAGTCATATCATCAAGGCAGTTCTTTCTGACAGCTTCCGGCCTTTGGTTGGCCGTGGTCCTCATTTTGCTGGTCTTCCTAGCCGCAGCCTGGTTTGGGCGCTGGTGGGCTGCTCCTGCTAAAGCAGAGACTGCAGAAGCGACAGATGCGGCAGATGTGGCAGATGATGCTGAAAAAGTGGAGGACTCATACAATTTTGATCCGAAGCAAAGTGGCAGGGCGAATAAAATTTTGGTTTTTGCAAGGCCTGTGGAGAGCAAGCAACGTGTTCCCCAAATGCTTGAGAGATGTTGTCAGACAGTTTTGCTTGCCACACCTGCAGGGAAACTCTGTTGACCAGTGGTGCAGCAGCCGCGCCTGCATTTGTCACGTAAACTAAACAAAAGGCATGCTATTTGTAGCATGCCATTGTGAATTCAATCACAGACCCAAGTTATCAAGTTGTTCATTGGGATCATTCCTCAAGTTCTAAGGTGTTGCAACTTTAGCTAAGTGATTTCTTTTTGTCTCCAGGCATCATCCCCGAACTCTTTTTTGATCTCATTTTGAATTCTTTCTGGTTGTCATCGGCAGGAGCATAAGGACACGGCAAAGCCCACTCCGCAGTTCATCCCTCGGCCGAGCAGTGAGGTTCCGGAAAAGAGCAGTGGCGCGCAGAGCAATGAGCTGCAGAGATACATCCAGATCATCCAGGATGGGGGTTGGATGGGATAAGGATGGATGACGGTGAAGATGAGCAATTGTTGTTTGGACAGCACCAGTTTTGAACATCTTTAGCATTTTACAGCAGCGTCTCTCAAACAACTCCTTGAATCTACACAACATATATATATATATACACAGGTTGGCAAATCTCATCATCGGACCTTGGGCAACACTTCCAATTACTTTTCCAGGAGGCCTGCGGCGTCTGCAAAGAGGAGGAACTCTCGTGGCTTCTCCCAGAGGCTTCGGGCTACGATTGCGCCTTGTCTCGTCCTTCCAGCAGCGGCCGAGCAGTTCGGCTGTTGGTGAGAATCGAAGGGCCCTTGCCAGGCCAGGGGGATCTAGGACCGGTCTTTGTTGGATGCAGTCTACTCGATGTGGCAGGAACAGAATACGTCAGGTTCTGAGAAGGGGTGGGATCACAGAAAAGTAGGTGTCACTTGGTCGCATCGCAAAGCCATTTTACCTTTTAGTGCAAAAGGCGCTCTCCTTTCTTCCAAACCACGTCACAAATTATGTCTGCAACATTTCAAACCTCGCAGTTGTAAAGGCCATATCATGACCATTTGCCATGGGCATAGCAGTGCGACCTCAAAAGATGTTTGAAACATCCACTCTTTTGCTATTTGGAACATCCACTGCCTTTTGCATTTGAGTGGACCCGTGTTCGATCCAGAACCGGAGCAGGTGGTCCGCCCCCTCTGGGGTTGCTTCGAGCACCCCTGAGCCAGCGGAGCTGCGTTTTCGTCTCGGCTGCCGCGGAAGAAGTGGGGAACGTGGACGGTCTGCCGCTGCAGAAGAAGGTGAGGATCAGAAGAAGGTGAAGGTTCAGGTTACGGTTATTCTTTGCTGGAAACCATAAGCCATCATATGAATCTACCAGCTAAATGTGGTCGTGGGAAAGTTTTCCCTAAACAAATTCTGAAGAAGAGGACTCTCAGCTTTGAGGCACGAGATAGTAGTGCCCATTCGAGGCTGTACATGGCCAAATGTCAAGCCATATCATCACTCTCTCACTCTTTGTCTTTGTTTGTGACTCCGTTAGTACGTAAGCGCGCGCAAGCACAGCCTCTGCCCAGTGGAGGGGCGTATTCATACCGCCTTTTAAGGGGTTCGTACGCCGCGCCACTTTGGGGCGCAACTGTTTGTGTTCGGACTCCGTTGGAGTGGTGGGGGGGTGTGGAGAGATGATGGTTTGCATGGCGAGCAATTATCACCCTGTTGCAATCAACACAGGAAAGATATGGTGTCCCGTTGCAGCAGCATAGCATGCTTGCATGAACTTTTGAGATGCTGCTTCACGACATGCGATGCACTGGTTCAACTGCCAGCATTGGTTCCCCAGCTCAGTCTATAAGTGATAAGATATTAAACGTATGGAAAAAAGACAAACCACACGACTGGAAAATGCAATTTTAAACATTGCATTTCTTCAAGCACACATTTGGTGTTTGTATATGTATATATATGCGAAAGAAGATCCACTCCATGGCATACATGTACAGACACCATACATACTGCAGGCCTTTCGCGGTCAAAAGTTCAGCTCGCATGGTAGCGGAGCTGGGAAGGTTGGCATTTGCCAACTGGAGCTCCTAGGCCTTTTTCACCTCGACCCCGCTGAGCATCCCATGCAACTAGTGTGGCAGTGATCTCGCAATCGCTGCTTGAGACTACCTGAAGGAGCTTGGAGCGGTGGCATGGATGAGCCCGAGATGGCTGGTTTGGCCCAAGCGGTCATGGCTGCAGCAAATGCAGCGGCTCAAGCAGCTCAGGCGGCTGCAGCGAGCGGAGGAGCTGGAACGAGTGCAGGGGGTGGAACAGGAGAAGGGATTTTGAAACGAGACCTGGCGAAACTGATCCCAAGACCTGGAACCTTCAACCCAACAGACAGGGAACAGGAAGTTCTGCAATGGAGAGACTGGTATTGGACGGTCAAGCAATACTTAGTTGTTGTAGATTCTGCCTTCCAAGATGAGTTGGAGAAGCTTGAACTCAATCCTTCAACAGAGGTCGATTGGGAGTTGTTAGATGAAGGTGAACAGCAACGAAGCAGATTTCTGTATAGTTTGTTGGGAAGTCTTGTACAAGGAAGGTTGACAGGGGTGATCAAGAACGTGGAGAAGTGTAATGGCATGGAAGCGCTTCGACAGATGCTGATGAACTGCCAGCCTCAAGCCAGGAACAGGACTATGAACCTCCTGCAAGGGATAATGTCCTATCCAAGCTTCAACATGAAGAACTCCTTGCTGCCTCAGATCCTCAAACTCGAGGAACACTATGCGCAGTACGAGCGCCTTGGAGGGAAGTTGTCGCCTGACATGAAATCGGCAGTCCTTCTCAGAGCGATTTCTGGTCAGATGAAAACCCATTTGAATCTGACTTTGAATGAAGGAAGCTCGTACAACAAGATCAGGGAGGCTGTCATCGCCTTTGACACGGCTACCACCGAGTGGAATGAGTCTGGAGCCCTGACTTTCTCCGGAATGAGCCCAATGACCAGTTCGACAGATCCCAATGGCCCTATTCCCATGGAGATCGACCGCATCAAAGGAGATGGGAAGAAGGGTAAAGGGAAGACGAAAGACAACAAAGGAAAGTCGAAGGGCAAAGACGAGAGGTTGAAGGGAAAAGGAAAAGGTGGCAAGCCGATGGGCAAAGATGGCAAGGGCAAAGGAGTTGGCAAGGACAGCAAAGGTGGAAAGGGCAAGAGTTCCAATGAGGTGTGTTGGACCTGCGGCAAACCAGGACATTTGTCACGAGATTGCTGGAGGGTGAGACAGATTGAAGCTCCAGCAACACAAAGCATTGCAGGGTCCCACACTACATCGCCTTCTACCACTTTGACGACGAGCGCGACAAGTGGAGGAGGTGGAGATGCAAGTTTGGGCGCCAAGAACATCAGGCGTGTTTCACAGCCAGCGATCTTCGACTTGAGAGAAGGGAGTGAAGCTGGTTCAATTCGAGCGGTGAGTCAGGTTGAATTTTTCAACATTGCCTCCGATGAAGAGGATGGAGATGAGAGCTACAAGGTCAACACCATTGCCGAGACCTACGAAGAGGAGGAAACCCATGAAGTGGATGAAGTGGGTGAAGAAACCCAGATGCTGAAGGTGATTGTGGATTCAGGGGCGGATGCCTCTATCTTTCCAGGAAAGCTCGTGGGAAGCACCAGAGGAGGTGATCAAGTGTTGGGAGCAGCACTACACCTACAAGATGCTCAGGGCAAGCAGATCCAGAGTTATGGTCACAAAGATGTTGACATCATGCTGATGACATCTGCGGGTCAATCTGTGGTCTTGAAAGAGAAGGTGACCTTCAGCGACATGGTGAATCAACCCATCCTGTCCTTTGGCCGCTTGATGAAAAGGGGCTGGTCGATAGATGGACAACGACAATGCCTTCGGAATGGAAACCTGGAAGTGCCTTTAGCGTTTCAGAACCAGAGTTTGGTGGTTGAAGCCTCGGTCCGAGTTGTCACTGAACCTATGGTGGTTCGCACGTTGGCAGTCAGGTTGAATGAAGAGTTGATGAACCTAGCTGGCAGTGGCTATGGATGGAAGAAAAAGGATGAAGGTTGGGTTGGCTTGCACCTCGGCACGAAGTTCCAAAGTCCGCAGTTCATCCCTGGCTTCAGAGAACAGGGAGAAGGAATGCGCAGAACGACCTTGGTGGAGAGACAAGGTGAGTGGGAGCTCGTGGAGATGGCAGAGCCCATCGACGGGCTAGCAGAACAAGAGGAGGAGATCGAAGAACTACGAGAGTGGGTCTTAGCAAAGTGATGACTTTTGTGGCAGCTGATGGTACAGTTCCAGAGAAGTTTGGCTTTGAGGTCAACGAGGCCATTCAACTCGGTCCCAAGCCGGCAATTGAAGATCTGGCTATTCCGCAAGCTCGAGATGAAGATATGGAGGAAGAGCTTTGGGGCATGGAAATTCCTGGGGGCGAAGACGGTCATGACCCAGGACGTGACTTGGAAGAACAAATGGTTCGGTATGAGATTGGTGTGGCCCTTCCAGAAGAAATTCGGGTGAATGAGATCCCATTGACTGTTGATAGTCCTCTACGAAGTTTGAGAGCAGCATGCGCATTTTACCAAATTGGTCAGAGTGGTGGCAAGAGAAAGTGCTTCAGTCGCCTTGTGGCTCACCAGGGAGCTTTGGAGTTGATGATGGCGCGAGATCTTGCAGCAAGAGGGCAAGCAATGAACCAGAGGATTCCCTTGGAGCAGGTGACGGCAAAAGTCCCCACAGAAGCTGAAAGGAAAGCGCATGAGCTCACACATGTTCCATACGCACCATGGTGTCCCTCCTGCATCAAACATCGAGCAAGGCCTGACCAACATAGAAGGACTGGCAAGCCTCATGACCAAGGATGCCCAACAGTTTCTTTCGACTTCTGCAAAGTGAAGGCCAAGGGTTCAGGAGCTCTTGGAGCAGAGGAGGAGGACGCTGCTCAGGAGGGTGTCCACAATGATGAGAGGGCATTACTGATGGTGGCCGTGTGCTCAGAAACGGGCTCATTGTTGGGGTTGCCCTTACTGTGACAACGAGCCCACTGCTAGGCAGATCGTACGCCTTCTAGTAGCTTCAAGAACAGGTATGGGGTTGAAGACAACGATGAGAACTACGAAGCTGTATGACTCTGCTGGAAATTCATTGGCCGAGAATGCAGTTCAGAGAGTGAGAGGTTTGGCGGCATCGATGATGGAAAGCCTAGCAGAGAGGATTGGACTTCGGTTTCAACATCAGCATCCCCTTTGGTCGTGGGCATGCCGACATGCAGCGTGGACCTTGAATAGGTATCAGGTTCTGAGAGGAACTACAAGCTTTGAGCTCACCCATGGCAAAGCCTATGATGGGAAGATGTGCCCATTTGGAGAGGTAGTTTTTGCCTACTCCAAGCAGAAGCAAGGCTTCAAGGCAGATCCGAAGTGGAAGGTGGGAATCTGCCTGGGCAAAACAGAAGTCCAGGATGCATGGGTGATTGGAGATGGCAATAGAGTCTTCCTCAGCAAGTCGATTCGACGAGTAGCAGATGCGAGTACCAAGTACATTGCATGCTATCAGGGCTTCACGGCATACTCATGGGAGTACCAACAGAACTTCGGAGGCCGCATCGTTCCATCGAAGAGGGTAGCGACTATGGTGGGAGGTCCCTTGCTCGGTCTTCCAGCACCATCGACAGGAGGAGCTGGCCCACATGATGAAGATGCAAGGGAAGTCATTGCTTTCTCAAGATCCTATGCCGGGAAGCTGGAGGAGGTGAAGGATCTGGTGAATGCTGAAGAGAAGCAGGTGGATGCCCCTCAAGAGTTGAGTGAGGAACAGAAGTTGGCCGAAGACAAGAAGGTAGACTATGCTGAAGAGAAGGTGACTCTACCCAAGGTGACCTTCCGAGATCCTCATATGGTGGATGAAGCACGCAATCAAGCAGGACCGTCAGCACCAGCAACGACACCAAGGAGTCCAGCGCAGAAGAGTGGCTTCACTATGGAAGGTGGAGAAGGAGATCCAAAGAGAATGAAGCTGTCTCCAGGCAAAGCAGTCCATGAGAGTGAAGGTGAAAGTTCAGAACCAAAGAGATTGAAGACAGGAGAGAAAGAACCTCACGTTGAAAGACGAGTACAAGCCACGGAGGTTGGAGATGACGTCTACTATCACATAGACCAGTTCTTTGGTGAGGAGGAGCTCATGGCATGGGATGAAGAAGAAGATGAAGGGACAAGTATGAGCATCCCGGAGGCACTATGGTCCTCAGCACCTCTGGATAGGATCCCTGCCGATCCACCGTTGTGGATTGATGAGCTAGCAGATGAGGTGGAAGAACAAAGACTTCTGAAGATGGGTGTGTTGGAAAAGATGGAAAGTGAGAAAGATGGCTTTAAGAAGTTGACGACCCGATTTGTCAGAGATTGGAGAGTCAAACCACGTCCAGACCTTCCTGGATCGCCCAAGCAATTCCTCAGGAGATCCAGACTTGTTGCTCGAGAATATGCAGTGGACAGAAGAGACGATGTTCACAGTCCGGCAACTGGAGGTCAGACCTTGCGCCTACTCCCGATCATCTACCTGATGAAGAAGCTTGAAGAGAAGGATGGAGGTGAAGAGTATTGGCTGGGGTCAATGGATGTGAAGGATGCTTTCCTGCAAGTCCCGCAGGAGGAGCTGACTCAAGTGAAGACAGCCAGAGGACACTATGAGGTGAAGCGCAATCTCCCAGGTCAACGATTGGGTGCAAAAGCATGGTTCGATTATTTTACTGATTGGTTGAAGAGTCGAGGATTTCAGTTTTCTGATATCAATCCATGTCTTGGGAGAAAGGAGAACCAGATGATGGTTTTGATCCACGTTGATGATGTGCTTTACCTAGGGAGCAAGGACTATCTGGAAAGAGCTTTTTTCCCAGAGATCAAGAAGAGCTTCGACATCTCAGAACAGCATCTAGCTGGAAATGGCACCACCTTTGCCTTCTTGAGGAGGACATATGAGCAGACGATGCAAGGCTTGAAGATCCTACCGGGCAAATACGCAGAGAGCATGGTGGAGCAGTACGAGGCTCAGATGGGCAAGGCTAAAGTACAGAAACTACCTTGTGGTCCTGAGATGCTTGAACAAGATGGTACAGCATTGCTGAAAGGTGAGTTGGCCAGTTTGTTTCGCTCGCTGGTGGGGTGCGGCATTTACCTCTCGCAAGAGCGAATGGATGTGTCCTTTACGATCAAAGAGCTTGCATCCTTTATGTCATGCCCTACAACTGGAAGAAACTCGGGAAGTTGGTTGGATATCTCAAGGGAACAATGGGACAATATAGCCTTCTCCCATATCCAGAACCAGGGCATGGACGTGCAACAAGGACAGCAACGTCAAGATGGTTGCTGGAAACTTTCACGGACAGTGATTGGTCAGGAGCTAAAGGACATCGCAGATCGACATCGGCAGCTATACACATGTTGAATGGAGCAGTGTTGCTGACAAGTTCCAGAGGACAAAAGTCAGTATCCCTTAGCTCAGCTGAAGCGGAGTTGAATGCTTTAGTGAGTGGAGCTGCAGACGGCATCTACTTGAGACGATGTCTCGAATTCCTGGTGGAGGAGAATGTCAAGCACTACTGTTTGGTTGACAATTCTGCAGCGCTTCATTTGTGCCATAGGAAAGGTCCTGGAAAGCTTCGGCACATTGCAGGCAAATTGTTGTGGATTCAGGACACAGTGGCTCAAGGAGATCTTGAAGTCAAAGCTGTAGGCACAGTGGCCAATGTGGCGGATTTGGGTACCAAACCGCTACCCAAGGCGAGAGTGAACATCATTCTGAACTGGTGCCAAATCTACAGCAGCGATGGAGAGCTACTTGGTCAAGAGGAACATCGACAACTTGAAGAGAGGAATGTGAACCGAAGCAAAATCCAAAGGCTAGCAAAGTTGCTGAACAGAATTCTACTGCTGGAAGGCCTTGGGCATGTGACTGGAGAGCGGATTGAGATGGAGGAGAAGATTCCCGCAACCAATCACAACTGGTGGCTATGGATGATCATCATGATCTTGTGCGTGATGATTTCAGCGCTAGCGTTCAGCATGTACAAGCTTGTGAAGAAGCTTGAGAAAATGGAGACCAAACTTCAACAGGTGGTTGATGATGTGAAAGTGGACGGCATGATGGTTGGAGCCTATGGACATGAGGCTAAAGAGGCCACAGCTCAACTACGAAAGTATGTGGAAAAGGTGCACAGAGGCCTGATCAAGGCTTCAGGCTATGTGGACGACAATGATGTAGAGGCAGAAGACTGGAGGCATTGGGACTACCTTCAGGACACCAACAAGGAGTTCGACATGAGAAGACTTGACAAGCAGATCAAGAGTTACCTTCTGAGGAATGCTGCGCAAACACGGCAGCATTTGAACATACGAGACAACACCCTAGTGGAACATGAGAGTGAAGAAGAGGAACATGATCGAGAAGGTCAAGTACAAGTGAGGTTGGACTCAGGCGAGGTGATCACAGTGAGAGAAGAAGATCTCGAACCAAGAGAGCCCGAAAGTGAAGAGGAAGGACCCACACCAATGGACACAGAACCAGAAAGAGTTCCAAGTGCAGCAGTGAGAACACATGGCAGCAGCAGAGATCTGGAATTTGAGGATTTGACCTTGACAGCACCAACAACAAGATGGCTCACGGACGCAGAACTTCGTGAGGTGAACGAGTATGACAAACCAGAAGCCAGGTCCTGTCTGCGAGCCAAGCAATACTCATTGCAATTCGAAAAGAGGTGGTTCGAACTCAACCAGAGGAACGAACACGAGAATAAGATGGAGATGTATGCCCGCATGGAGAGACATATGGAGTTTCTCGATAGCGAGGCAGTTCCCTTTTAAGATGGCAGAAGAAGCACAAGAACTTCAGCTTCAACTGCCAAGGAGGAGTGCGAAAGAAGATCCACTCCATGGCATACATGTACAGACACCATACATACTGCAGGCCTTTCGCGGTCAAAAGTTCAGCTCGCAATATATGTTTTTTTGAAGTACAACCCATAAACCGAGAAAACGAGAAACCACAGGCAACATTTATATAAAAATGTCATTTGATATGCGTTGATGCGGGTGGGGTGGAAAGTTGGCTCCCATGTTTTTTGGAGCAACCTCTTGTGGTTGCGCGGCACGGCTAGATCCACTTGCAAATTCGGTGGCAGTTCTTTTTAGATTTGCTCGCTTGAAGCGTCCCTCATCGGGGAACAGATTCCCATCGACGCGCGTTTATGAACAAGCGGGCCGTTTTGTCTTTGTTATATACTTTCTTGTGTATCACACAAGAATAGCATCCCTAAGTCTTGTCCCCCAAAGTCACAATATCATGAACGATGGTCAAATAAGTTGGCTACCGCTCGCATAGTCCACGCCATCGCAACGATGTGACCCCTCCCAGTTCCAACTTGGTTGCTTCAGTTTTGTTGTATATGACGTGGATACGCGTGCGTCATCATGAATCCAACCATAGCCCCATTTTACCTCCTTGCAACTTCATTTACAACTTCTACAACTGTTAAGTAGTATCTGGTACCACTGCTACCGCAGGCAATTGACTCTGTGGATTTTCAAGTTTCGTTGGTCGGCGCTCCATCCATCCGTATCGATGTGACGGGCTCCGATCTGACTATGCTCGATGCGCTGGAACCTTGGCATTCACGCAGCTTCCACCGGGAAAGAGCGGCGAGGATCTTAGTTTTGCCGTATATATCCCTGCTATTTAGGTACGTTCCATGTGGTTATGAGATATCCATACTGGGGTTGACCGAGCCAACATGAGTCGACTGAGAGTGATTCTACTGCTGGCCCCGTTAAGATGTAGTGCCCCACATTTTCTAGTGTTGGAAGGGTTCTAGGATACTTAGCTCATTCACATGGCATGTCTTGTGTCCAAGGACTCAAAGGCATAATGAACGCTTGACAGTGTTTCAAGCTGTTTTCATGACATCAAACTGATTTTTTTATTGGTAAACATTGATGTTGTTATGACCTTCCGATGCGGTAAATAGCAAGTGGCAATGTTCCAAGGAGGACAACTGGACACCACCCCAGCCATTGAATTCTTTGCCGCGGCCATGGCGAGAGTTTCTGGAAGTTTCACACTTGGCCACCGGCAGTTTTCGCTTCAGAGAAGATGTGCTGTTGGTTGGATCCCAGGTGCCATGTCTTTGGTTGTCGCCCACAGTCCTAGGTCCTAGGTTGCACGAGTGTGCAAGCGCTGTAGCCGTGGTGAGATCGATGATTGCCAGATGTTCAAAGGTGGCACTGAACTATTTGTACATACCGTTGCATACCCAACTATTTATACAAGATTGTCATCGTTTGATATGTTTTGCAGGTCCCGACATCCACATCTCATTTCCCTGTTGCCTAGAATCCAGGTCTTGCTTTGTGGAGAGTTGCTTCGTGACTCACGGGGCCGCATTTTTCTGCAGCCCTGGGAGGCTCCGGCCGAGGCGTGGAGCGACTGGGAAACTGCGCCCATCTAGTGGCTGGTTGTTTTTTTGATGTTAATGAAGGATGTCAATTTGCATAACCAAGAAATTAGAACAGTAGGTCCAGTAGGTGACTTTGGTGAACCCCAAGCTAGCAGCAAGAAGCCAGCCATGGGATGATTCATTCACTGCAGATCCGCACAATTCCATGTCGGAGATGTGAGATGGTGAACAATCAATACCAACTAGATCCCACTTGTACATATTTGTGCGATGGGCTTAAACCGCCCCATTTCGGACTGATGGTTGAAATGCTTTGCCACTTGAGAGCTATCAGGAAAGCTGCTTGAAGAAAGCAGCTTGGGTTTAGATGGTGCATCGGGCCTTTCTGCATATTTCCTCAAGTTTGACTTAGAAGTTCACAAACTGCACCTTGGCAGGTTGGATGCGAAAGCTGGCGAACGTCTTGGGAGTGTGCAAGCTCCAAGCTGCAACCAACCGTCCTGGCGAGCACCTTGACGTGCACCTGCAATCGTGAGACGGCAACCCTGCCAGGCTGTCCCAACACTCAACACTAGAGTCACTAGAGACCAGTCGTTCACTTATGGATGAGTTGTTTGATGTTGGAATCAGGATTTGCTGGAATTGTCTGGGTACACTTTGCCGCGATCCTTGCATGGGTTTGCGGTATGAGGCAACGATATGACACTGGCTGAGGGGCCAAAGATAGACTGCAGTGAGACTTGCTTCCTTTCTGGCTTCGAGACGGCCGAATTTCCCCAGCCCTTCTTGATGTTGTGAAGAGTTGAAGATGGTTGGTATGGGTCAAATTCATGCAGATGTGAGGCTCAGGAGACTGCTGATGTTAGATGATGGTTTGTGGTACCAGTCTTGACCCACACTGATATTGTACCTGGCCTGTTCTCACAAAGGAGGACATGGATCCGGAAACTCAAAGCGGAGTAATTCAGCGCCGGCGAGGCGAACATGTGTTCAAGGCATGCCCGCTTTCTCGCAGTGGGATCAAAACAGGTCCAGTCGCTCCGCAGATGAAATGGCAGATGTCCTTGTGAATAGAGGATATGCATGGGTATGATTACCGATCATAGATAGAATAGGATAGCGCGGGATAGGATAGGACAGGACAGGAAGAATAAGCTACAGCAAGGTACCAGTGGTACCACTTGGTAGCTGAATGATTTGTGTGAGTGATTCCGTTCATGCGACTGCAGTGGGATCAAAGGTTACCGACAGGCACAAGACATATACAGTAAAGGATTCACTACTCGTTTGAATCCGAAAGGTGTGGCCTTTCCTGCTACACATGAGTACCTATTGCAACTACTGCATTACTACTACCCGCATTTGCAACTACAGCAGCAAATGTACTATACTGTTGATGGACCAACTCCTACACCACATGAACTTTGCTATTGGACTGAAGATCTGTTGAAACCACCTCCATCAAATGCAGACAGAGATGAAAGCACGTCCATCACATGAACCGTTGCTCGGAACCTTTCCGCTCTGAATTCGGTCGGTGCACATGTCATGGGCATGCTGACATCTCCCTTGACTGGGCTCTCAGAGGATCGGATGAGACGGCCAAAGGGCTAGAAGAGGAACTCAGGTCATGCTTTTGGTTACAGAGTGTTACAGGATATATTTTGGTCAGGGTGGGAACACCCCGTTAAGACTTACATATCATTACTGTGCAATGTATTTTTTTGTGTTGTGTACTTAACTGGATTTGCAGGAATCCGCCGCAAAAACGCGAACCCAGTCGAGTTGCTGTATTGAAATGAACACTAATAGATTACCCAGGTTCGGTTCAGTGCGACTTTAGAAGGGTTGGGAAAGGCGAAATTGCTAAGCCGTCCAGGACCTTCAGCGACTTCAAAAGGAGGTCCTCGAAGGCGGGGGAGGAGAGACCTTGATTCCTGCCACGTGGTAAAAGCCTAAACCATTCTAAACCTTTCTCACCTTCCTCCGTTCTTTCTATGCAACTTGGACCCATGTGGACCTTCCAAAATGTCGGATTGCTTCGTCCAGATGTCCGATGCAACTAGGGCGCCTGCAGGTCTGAAGGTCCATCACTTCGCCCAACAGTTTTTATGAGCCATGAGCCATGAGGCCTCGAGCCCCCAGACGAGGATGATGAGAAGGCCATGATATCATTGTGAGAAATGTTAAAAGGCACACCTTTCCCTTCAAGGGCTTCGGATTCATGTGTATATATATATACATAAGCATCGCATTTGTGATTTTCCTTCCTTCCATTCGATGTGATCAGATAGGTGTCCAGATAAACACAATTTGCCAACACATGCCAATTATAATGGATAGTATCTTGGGCAGACCAACGAAGATGACAGACACAATGATGAGACATTTGTAATTTGTTTTTTTCTTGAGAACATGTTGGAACATGCTCTGGGCAGGAAGACGTAAGAGATGAACTCCAAGAAGGGTTGGCTGCGATAGAGGACACTGCTGCCAGTGAGTTTTGGTCTTTGCCTGGAAGGATCATGGCCTGAATAGCGTGGTCAGGTTCGATCTGTGCAGGAATCAACAAGACATAAAGTCTGTGGGTTGCTGGGCCATGTACTTGCCACTGTCGCTTGACCCTAGACTACCAAGAATTCAATGGATCAAATCTAAAACCTTAGGAACCACAGAATTTGATCATTTTCTTTCATATTCTTTTAGTTACTAGCCATGCATTTTGGCTCTTGATTTGTTTACCCACTCATCAACAAAGCACTTGGTTCAAGCAAGTTTGGTTGATCTGTCGATCAGGTATCTTCGCCCCAATCCCCTGCTTCAAGCAAATCATGGCACATCCCGCCCTCACTGAAGATGCTGTGAACACAGGCGCAGTTGCTTGGGTCTTGACCTCCGCAGCTTTGGTGTTCTTGATGACTGCTGGCCTGGGTTTCTTCTATGGTGGCTTGGTGCGAGACACGAACGTAATCAACACTATGATGATGAGCGTGGCTTCTATGGCCATTGTATGCCTTACTTGGGTTGTCTTTGGGTTCTCTTGGGCCTTTGGGGACAACGGCGCCACTGGCTTTGGGATGTTTGTGGGCAACTTTGAGTACAGCTTCTGGACGAATCTGGACATGAAGATGTGGGGTGACTCTGGTCTTCCCGGCCTTTGTTTTGCAGCTTTCCAGATGACCTTTGCCATCATTGCATCCGCGATCATTTCGGGCTCCTTGGTGGAACGAATGCGCTTCAGCGCATATTCCATCATGTTGGCACTTTGGTCTTTGCTGATCTATGCTCCGCTCTGCCATTGGGTTTGGGGCCCTGGCGGCTGGATTGCGGAGATGGGTGCTGTCCTCAGGGCGCTCAGAGGGTGGCGAAACCAGTTTTGAGGAAAGCAGATCCCCACAGTGCTTATTTTTGCTAACGGATGGGAAACCGTACGTGTAGTCGTGTCCATTTTATCAAATCACACATGTTGCTACATACACCATGACATTCGACACGTGTTCATGATGTTTGCTACATGCACTATAACATTCGACACGTGTTCAGTGGGTGTTTTGGTGGGTGGGTGGGTGGGTGGGTGGGGTATATAATGACGTGTGTGTGTGTGTAACCCTTGGAATCATAGGGATCCTTTTGGATTTGTTCGGTTTGCCTTTTTGCTTTTTAGCTTTATGTCAGAGCAGGGGGGCGCAGCAGATGCAAGGGACTGCGCCTAACAAAGCTACCTTGCATCTGGGAAGCCAGGTCTGATCAACCTGGTGCACCTGCTTTTGAGAACCTAAGTATGGCAAAAGCTGTCTCATTCTTTGTTGTGCAGTAAGCGGCTAATGCAGCGGCGACTCACCTTGAAGTGTTTGGACCTTTGGAGCTCCACAGATTTGCACGACTCGTCGTCACCTTGTCGCGGCCGTTCGTTCTCGTGTTTATAGGTTTCGGAGGCCTCTCACTTACTACCTGGAACCTTAGGCGGTTTTACCTAGGCCGGCGTGTGGCACCGCTGTCAAGTCAGTACACCCTATCCTAAGTGTGTTTGGTCTCGTGCCAACCCGGGATGAGCCCGCAGAGTGCCTCCCGTGGGCCCGTTGAACGGGGGTACGTCGTTATCTCCCCTGCCCGGAGATGTAAGTGCCCAGAGCGGGCGAAGGTGGCCTAGGCCGAGAGAATTCAGATTTTGTCTCATTTTAGGAATTCCAAGCTGGCTTATGCCTTTACGTGACCGCAGCGGTCGAAGCAGCCAGCCATTTTGGCAAGGCGCAAGGTGACCATAGCGGTCAAAGTCAGTTTCTAAGTTCATTGGAACCTGTCGAGACCTTGGGTGCACATACAGCGTATACATTCAAACGAGGCAGGTTTTCCTAGGTCGTTTTAATGAGGTTCGGCTTCACCGGCTCTCGTCCCCTCCATTTGGTTCCCCTTTCATCCCTTCCCCTTCACACACTTTTGTTTCCTCTTTTCTTTCATGTCCTCCTGTCTTCATGTCTGGTCATCTCATCCTTTTCTTCGTTTGCGCGCACATTGGTCCCGGCCTTAGTGTGTACGTGCACTTCTACATACATTTAAACACAGGTTTCAGGTCGCCCAGGTCTTTACAATGAATTGGCTTCATCCGTTGTCCCTGTGCACTTGGTTCCCCTTTCAGTTCAGCCACACGCACCTTTGTCCCGTCTCGTCCTCTTGTCATGTCTTCATTTTCTTGTCTCTTGTGCGCGCACACGTGCGCATTGGCCCTCACCTTAGTTTCTCGCCTCCCCTCGGGGAGGCGTGTGTGTGTAACCCTTGGAAACATAGGGATCCTTTTGGATTTGTTCGGTTTGCCTTTTTGCTTTTTAGCTTTATGTCAGAGCAGGGGGGGCGCAGCAGATGCAAGGGACTGCGCCTAACAAAGCTACCTTGCATCTGGGAAGCCAGGTCTGATCAACCTGGTGTACCTGCTTTTGAGAACCTAAGTATGGCAAAAGCTGTCTCGTTCTTTGTTGTGCAGTAAGCGGCTAATGCAGCGGCGACTCACCTTGAAGTGTTTGGACCTTTGGAGCTCCACAGATTTGCACGACTCGTCGTCACCTTGTCGCGGCCGTGCGTTCTCGTGTTTATAGGTTTCGGAGGCCTCTCACTTACTACCTGGAACCTTAGGCGGTTTTACCTAGGCCGGCGCGTGGCGCCGCTGTCAAGTCAGTACACCCTATCCTAAGTGTGTCACCACCTGTTTCTAAGGTTTCCACAAGTTGCAAAGTAATTCAAGTTCCCTTAGGGATTAAAAAGAGGGAGGGGACCAGGCAGGATGCATCGTCGCCTGGTCAACGAAGCTGGCGATGTATCCCAGGATATGGAAATGGGATGCCATTTCCACGTACCTGCTGAAAACTTTTGTTTACCCTGTGACTCCACTCTTCCTTTTTGGTTCCATGGTGGTTCTGCATGCTATATTATCTCAAAACAAGGCTTCTATGCACGGCGATAATTCGATCGGCTACGTATATTCAGTAACTAGAATCCGCAGTCACGCAGCATGAACATTTGTTCAACATTTCAAATGTGCTGACCGCTTCACCTTGCGTTTCCCTAATCCATTTTTCGTGGACTAGAGGTAACTGAAAACCACTTGTCAAAGTGTGCCCACCTCTGTTTCTAAGAGTTTTCACCTGCAGGGGGTCCAGGCAGTTGAAGCGAGAAAGGGCGCCTTCTTGTGTACCTGCATGAATTTTTAAACATGCTGCAGTATTGTAAAGCGCTAATGTGTTCGTGAACCAGTTCCTGAACTTAACGCTCATTCATTTGAGCAATGAGTCTAAGTGTGACCAGCTGCGTCTTCCCACTTGGGTATGCAGTGTGATCCCCCATTGCGGCGCCGAACTCACCATTGACACTTGCTGATCGACTCACGCATGCCGTGAGTGAGCCACTTCCTGAACTCTTGCCCGGGAACAGCTGAACAGATACTGCCGAGTACACGGTGATTGCTAACTGACTGATTTTCGTTACGCACTCTTGAGTAATTCACTGCATGCCTCGATCTCCGTTCGTTGCTAGGGTTTTCGTCTAGAGGGCGCCGGAATCGGCTTTATGACCGAGTGTCTATTACACCCCCCTCTTTCTCTCCTGCATTTTCTTTTGTTTGTTTTGTTGTTTCTTCCTCAGGCTTGTTAGGTCGCTTATGAGGCCCCCTTGGCCCCCACCGAGCAATTGCAAACCAGCGCTCATACTACTATGCAGAGTAAAAGCCACCTTTTCAAGCCTAGGTAATGCCAATGCTGTCTACTGCGTTTTTTTCTCCAGCAAAAAAAAGAGCATCTGTGAGCAACCTTTAGAACCTAAGTAATGCCAAAGCTGACTACTGCGTTGTTTCCTCCAGCAATAAAGGGCCAATGCGTCCGTGAGTAACCTTTAGAACCTTAGTAACGCCAAAGCTGTCTACTGCGTTGTTTCCTCTTTGCAGTGCTAATGCATTGTGAGCAACCTCTAAAACCTAAGTAAAGCCAATGCTGTCTACTGCGTTGTTTCATCTTTAAAGAGCTCCTGCAGTAAAGTGTTAACGCATGTGTCAGCTACCTTCTACAACCTAAGTAAGACGAATGCTGTCCACTGCGTTGTTTCATCAGTAAAGAGCTACGGCAATCAAGTACTAATATATTCGTCCGTGTACAACCTAGGTAAAGCCCGAGCTGTCCACTGCATTGTTTCATCTTTAGAGCTACCGCATTGAACTTTGGCGCGCCGCTACGAGGCTGTTTGTGTGTGCCCACCTCTGTTTCTAAGAGTTTTCACCTGCAGGGGGTCCAGGCAGTTGTGAGTTGTCCCTGGACCAACGAAGACGGACTCACAAACGGTGAAGGGAGAAAGGACACCTTCTTGTGTACCTGCATTCACTTTTGAACATGCTGCAGTATTGTAAAGCGCCAATGTGTTCGTGAGCCAGTTCCTGAACTTAACGCTCATTCATTTGAGCTATGAGGCTAAGTGTGTGTGTGTGTGTGAAACCCAGGCTTTATGTTTTTTGTTTACCTTTCCTAGAACAGGAGGCTTTACGGCTCTTTTGTCTAACTTACTAGAGCGATTCGTTTGTCTCGCTCACTGTGTGGAACTACTCCTACTTCCTCCAACCTAGATGCGAGTGCCTCCAACTTACTCTTCGTGTTTTTACCTGGTCTTTCAGGTTTTTACTAGTGGCCAGGCCCCAACCAATACCGCATGAGCAAGGGTTTGTCTCGTTCTCCGGCCACAGAGCAGAGTAGTCCCCACCGGACGCAGGAGGTTTACGCCAAACGTTGATTAAGACCTGACGGTTATAATGGAGCTTGAGCAGGCCGCCACTTTGCCAATGCCCAGAGTAGGCCGCGGCGGGCGGAGTTCTTCAAGGCCCATTGGGGCCTGTCCCCACTTTAGGTGCGCGCGCAGCATGTACACAAACTAGGCCAGGCGCTCCTATCCGCCAATGAGGTTCGGTCTCATCTTTTTCGGCCCCCCCTCTCACCTCTTCCCCCGCACACACTCTCTTTTCTTTCTTTTCGTGTCTTGTCCGTCTTCATGTCTTGTCACCTCATTCCTTTCTCTCTTTTGCGCACACCTCGGTCCGGCCTTAGCGCGCGCGTGCGCTCGTACACAAAACGCAGGTTTGGGGTCGCCTAGGTTCTTGTAATGAGGTATGGCCTACGTCTGGTTGTTCCTTTTCACCGCAACCACATACACTGTCCTGTCTTGTCTTCCTCTCACGTCTGCGTTTTGTTGTCTTTTGTGCATGCGCGCCAACACCTCAGTCTGAGCCCTAGTTCTAGGTTTTGGCGCCCCTCTACGGTGTGTGTGTGAAACACTTGGAGTGAAAGGGAACCTTTCGTTTTTTGAGCAGGGGGTAACGGCCAGTCTTCCCACGTTGCCCAACAAAGCTACGGAAGACTGGCGGAAGCATTGAGGGACGCCTGAATGCGCACCTGCCTTTGGACGCCCGCTGTCTATAGAGCGACTCTTATGTCTCGCTGTGCCTAATGGAGTGATTCGTCCGTTTTGCTCCCTAGAACAGGAGGCTTTGCGTTTATTCTTTGTTTGCTTTACCTAGAACGGGAGGCTTTATGGCTCTATTGTCTAACTTGCCTAGAGCAATTTAACTGTCTCGCTCACTCTGTGGAACTATGTGGAACTACCCCTACTTCCACCTACAGTATCGGTTGCTTGTCAATCCAAGATCAGACATGCGCACTCGCTTGTGTGTTGAGTTTGCTTGTCAATCAAAGATCAGGCATGCGCGCTCGCCTGCGCGTTGAGTATGCGCCTAAAGGTGATGACGGCCAACCTTTCCTATTGAATCTGGCTGTGATATGCTGTGATGTGATTTTCAATTGCTGTCTTTTGTACTTACCACTAACCTACGTCAGTAGCCATGCCTCCCACCTAGATGCGATGGCCTCCAACCTAGATGTGATGGCCTCCAACTTACTCTTCTTGTTTTTGCCTGGTCTCTTAGTTTTTGTATTTAGGTCAGCAAGTGGCCAACCGCTAATCAATACCCTGCGCAATATCTCAAGTGCCTGTAGCTAACGTGCATAAGTCCGACGTCTTCATTTTCAGTACATACACCATGACCTTCGACACGTACTCAGGGGGGGTGGGGTGGGGTGGTGCGGGGCGCCATAGACTTTTCACCTGCGTGTGCTTTTGACCACAATGTGTGCGTATGAGGTGGTTCACTTATTCATGCTGTGTGACGCGTTGCAACTTTTACAGACGTGTTGGTCGTTTGCGCTCCAGCTTGTCAGGCTTTTGTCGTTCCGCAGTTTTTAGAACCATGGCTTCGTTCAGCCCTGGAGCGGCTGCTAGTGTAGGGGTAGCCTTTGTGCTGTTGTTGAGTTTAGGTGGCTTTGAGAGTGTGGGGGATCTACCGGTATCTGATGATGAAGTCTGCCATTCCAAGCGCGCTTGCATCCAAAAAGGATGGGCGCGCAAATCCTCTGCTCCTGCAGCACGCACGACAATGGCAGCGGAGGTGGGGAAATACGCTTTCCTCCAACTTGACCCGTAGAACGGCGGACGCCTGAGAGTAAAAAAGGGTTGCTTACCGAATTGTTTGGCACGTCGCTGTGGCGAAATAGAAAAGGGATCAGAAAATGAACTTCGAAAATTACAATGTTTTTTGACCCATCTTGCGCTGCGCGCAAATACCAGCGAAAAATACATTAAAGCGTCCCTGCAGGGGCAGAGAGCCAGCTTTGCAGCCAAAAGCAGAAAAACATGCATGACTATGGGAAGTACGAGATTCTGTGTTTCAGAGTGACCATGGTCAAAACTCACGCGCTGAAAGCCATCCGCCGGGTTGTTCTTGCTTCTACTGAGAGCTTGGAATGAAATAAATCGTTCCGGAGTGAATCAAAGCATTGTAATTGTGTGGTTTTGGCTTATGGACCTGACCAAGCTGCCTCCGAGACACCATATTGAGTGGTATTTTGCAGTTGATGCTATCGCAATATTTTATCAATGTATGCAATATATGCGCATATGTGCACAAACAATGTTTAGTACGTGTACATCTGGGGACTTGCTATAACCGTTGCCATTTGGTTTGCACTTGATGTTGTGAAGATGGCCTGTCACTGTTGCGCGCCATTGATGTTGCACGACACTACCAGTTGTTGTTGTTGTTGTTGTTGTTGTTGTTGTTGTTGTGGCAACTTTTGGCTGCTGCTGCTGCTGCTGCTGCTGGTGCTTTTGTTGCTGCATGTTGCTGCTGTCGCGGTCGTTGTCGTTGTCGTCGTTCTTGCCCTTGGGGTTGTGGTTGTGGTTGCTTTCAGAAACCTTCATTCAACGATGCACCAACGACACCCGTAGGATTCTGCAGTGAAACGTGGTTGAACGTGAGAACATACATATATAAAAGGAACGTGTAAAGAAACAACAACATTTTGTTGTTGTTGTTGTTGTTGGTGGTGGTGGTGGTGGATCCGTGGGATCCTGGCGGGAACCTTGCAAGGTATTACAGAAACAGAGGTCAAGATACGTCAACCCCAATTCGGCTGGGGAATTGGTGATTTTGGCCAAAACCCCCGGTCGCAGAACATGAGTGGGTTGCTTGGGCGGAATCAAACACTTCCGCTTCAGTTTCGATTCAGAACGTCGCCGTGTGAACCCAGAAAGTGGGTGATATGCTGGGCGGTTTTGTTTTTTGTCGCATTTGTCGAGTCCATTCGGTGTGGAACATAGAATAGAAGTGAACGAATTCGTGAATCGAACAAAACCGACACCGAAACATACCGAAACAAACCAAACTCAACTCAAAAATAAATATACGTGTTTTTCTGAAACGAACCGATTGGAATCACTTGAAATCATGAGTTCTGGTAATTCTTCGAAGAAAACACCAAGGCGCTCTCGACTTTGCAGGTGGCACTGTCGTCCACATCAGCTCTGGTGTGTCAGGCCTTGTTGCAGGTGCCATTGTCGGACCTCGAAGGCATGTGGAAAAGGAACTGGGGCCTGCCAATGCACCCTTTGTGATCTTGGGTGGCAGCCTCCTTTGGTTCGGCTGGCTGGGTTTCAATGGTGGATCGGCTTTGTCAGTGAGTGATGGTGTGGCAGCACGTGCAGTGGCCACCACCTTTGTTGCCGCTGCTTCGTCCATGCTGAGTTGGTTGTTGCTGGAACGCCTCCTGAAGGGTAAATCCTCTAGCGTCGGTGCCTCTGTAGGAGCAGTGGCAGGACTTGTGTGCATCACCCCTGGAGCTGGCTTCGTGACTCCTGGCTGGAGCATTGCCATTGGTGCCTTGGGTGCTGTTTGGTGCTATGCCTCCGTGGAGTTGGTGAACCGGGCGAACTTGGTGGATGACACTTTGGATGCCTTCGGCTTGCATGGTATGGGTGGCATCGGAGGGGCGATTTTTACTGGCATTTTTGCTTTGGATGGTGGCTTGATCTACACGGGGAGCTTTGAGCTGTTGGGCAAGCAGATTGCTGGAGCCATGGCAGGTGTGGCCTTCTCAGCGATTGGAACAGCCATCATCGTGGTGGCACTGAAAGTGGTGATGAAGTTGCGAATCCCTGAGGAGCAAGAGGTTGAAGGTGTTGATCAGCACACGCATGGTGAGACCTACCACAGTCCAGTCAAAAAGTACCCCCAGACCAAGCCCTCCGAGTCCAGTGAGCCATCAGACACTGTTTGATTTTACGACAACCAGACCAGCTCATGTGCTTTTAGATTTTTAATTCAGTGCGGTTGTCTAGATTTTGTGTTTGCACAAGGATGGAGTCCTCGTTGACGCACCTGTGCTTAGACTGGGTGCGGATGTTATTAGAGCTTTGCGAAGACGGAGTTCTTGCTGATGTGCATTCGCTGGCATTTCAGCATGTTTATGTTTGTGTTGCTTATCCGCAAAGATGGAACGGCATCACATGATCCACAGGAATGATGTCAATGCGTTCTTGCCTGAAGAAAAGAAGAAAGGCATGCTAAGCCAGAATGCCACATTCTTGCGGACTTCTCCCACAGCCCTAGAATCAAGGGAATCTACTTTGGAAGTGAATTGTAATGCCAACATTTGCTGAGGAGTTGGTTGCAAGTTCTTGGCAGTCAAGCGAGGACTGATGGGCAAATGCAAACAGAATACCTGATGTGCAGATCATGCTTTGTGACACTAATCACTAGCCGCACCAGTCCTTTCCAGTGCGTTGTTAAGTGCCGCGAGGATTTCAGAGCCAGCCGTCCTGCCACAGGAGGCTTTCAAAAGCAAGACAACAGTGACGCGAGGGAAAACGATAAGTAAGAAGGTGGCTGCCAGTTAATAACACAAGATGTTTGTGAAATCCATAGAGCCATGGTTCGGCCGCAGCAAAGTGGTCAAGCCGCAACCGGCGCTCTGAGTCGTTTAGACTCGAAGCGTGCATCGTGAGGCCCTGCAGTGCTCTCGGAGAACACTGTGCTAGTGGTGTCAGGAGAGGGCTGGCGGAGTAATTTGTCGGTTTCTCACCTAGTGGAGCTGGGCCAGGGATCAGTGAAAGAATCTGTTTGCACAACGTGAGGTCACTGTAGGTTGACGACTCTTTTTACGGCGAGCGAATGTGTGTGGTATGTTTTGTGATCGTGAAAGGCGAAGATTGCGTGGGAAGCCTATGGGAGGAGAGAACTGGCTGGAGCTGGAGCTATGAACAAGGTATATGTGTGTGTGCGTGGAATTGTTTGCAATCATATTTTACTTTGTTGCATATGTATAATGTGTATATATATATATAGCAATTACGTAAGGCATACATATCCTTTGATAGACCTGGACATTGCTTGTGGAGAGAGTTTGGATTGAAGTGCCTTGACAGCCCAGGCTGAGAACTGAAGTCAGATTGATAAAGCACGACACATATGCCAATGAACCACCAAACGGATTTGTCCCTCAAGCCACCAAAACATCGGAGATTTATGTATTGTGAGTTTAATGGCCTGTGCGTGATATTCAACACCACGAATGCACTAACTGTAATAGGCCAAAGACAGTCTTGGAGCAATGTTTGGTTTGAAACCAGATGTTTCCAGATGCCCTCAGCCTGTACATAGCAGCTACTGGATTCCAGCGTTATGCGTTGGCAGCTTAGGTGGAGGACGTGCGGCATTTGGTCTTCCGCTTTCAGCGGCTCCAGAGCCTCACCGCGCAAGGCAGTGTGGATTTGAACCGGCTACAGGGCTTGGAGGCGCCATCGCGGTTGTAAATCCAAGATTCATTCGGCAAGACAGTACAATTATCCTTGGAGCTTTCATTGGTTCCAAAGCTGCTGTAGCGCAGGTTCTGTCACTGTCTCACAACCAGCTACGAGATCTTCAGCCATTGAGCGCTTTGGTGAGCCTGAGTGAGGCTGGTTGGAGTCCACTCTATCTGAATCTGGGGGCAGGTGGCTTCTGGATTGTGACTGCCAGACAGGTAGAACAGTAATGGAAAGTGCATGGTTTCTATTTTTTGAGCCTGGCAGGTGAACCTGAATTTCAACCAGATTGAGGAGCATGTGCGCGCACCTGGAGCTGGTGTGGCGACCAGCGGGGTAGAAAACCCTTGAAGAAAACACACATGTCAAGCACATGTCAAGAAGGTTCGTGGGCCAAACGGTGACGGGAGGAAAGGGAGGACGGAGAAAAGAGCCGTCTCAAGTTCAAAAGAAAGGACAAGTGAAGGGGAAGCATGAAAAACTACAATGAAGCGCTATCAGCAGGATCAACAAGTTATCAAGTTGCCTTTCAAATTGTGGTGGAGAAGGAGGGGCAGTGCAGGACTTGAGCCCTCTCTTCGACTGCCTGCAACTTACCAAGGCGGCTTGGAAAGTACTGTGCCTGGAAGTTACACCACTGTAATACAATGGCGTTTCAAGCTATAGTTTGTATTGTTTGCCCTTCATTTTGTCTCAGCACAGCTCAGTTTGATCCAATCGTATACTGTATATCAAGCATTCGTTCTGAGCGACTTCAGGACCTAACCCGAAAGATGGGGTTGTCTTTACACACCACGCTGTTTGGACTGCATTTGGCATCTCTGGCTGCATGCAGCCCGATACATTGTGCTGTGTGCTGTACGTATGCATGTGCACGCTGTTTAGGCTCAGGCCCTTTTAAGACACCCTGGCTGTGCGAGCAAAAGCTGCTCTCATTTTTGGCCAAAGGTTTTCCAACACTTTTTCGAAGGAATGGCGTCGACTTCCAGGACAACTATTGCTGCTGCTGCAGGCGCCGCTGCACTCGTGGGCAGTGCCAGCTTTGTTTCCGCGCCTCAAACAAGCAACCTTCGAGCCACTATTGCAACATCTACAGCATCCACCCCCAGCCAGGCAGGGTGGGACAACATGCATAGACATATGTACTGTAATCATATATACATATATAGTGAACGTAGGGACATGGTGCATACCATCAGAACCATCGTCACATACCGAACCTTGTGGAGTGATGTTCAAAAGCACCAATACAAGTGTAGATGTTGCCAGCATAGATCCTCCACAGCGTGATGCAAGTGTTATGAGCAAGACCTCCATCAAAGTACTGTAGATTTGTTTGGGACGTGTATATATATATATATACATACATAACTTATATAAGTATATCAATCAATCAATTAGTCAATCAATCAATCAATCAATCAATCAACCAACCAATCAATCAATCAACCAACCAATCAATCAATCAATCAACCAATCAATCAATCAATCAATTAAACATCCATGAATCAATCAACCGACCAACCGAGCTATCTATCTATCTATGTTTGCAAAAACAGGTTTTCAGAAAGCTACTCTAGTGTATACTCTTTAACATGCAACAGACCCTTCTCAGAACTGTGCGTTTACAACGGTTCTTTCTCGGTCTGAGATCTATGTCCAGGCTGCACCGAGCCAGACAGCCTCTCTCGCCATGGCCGGTGTCGCAGTCGCAGCCTTGACCGCTAGTGGTCGGAAGGCGTTTGGTGTCAAGACACAGCTGGTCGCACTCAGTGCCTTTGAGAATGAGCTTGGAGTGCAAGCGCCTGTAGGGTTGCTTGGGTGAGTTTCAAGCATTTCTTGTGTCGATGTTTGATACCTCGAAGATCCGGTGTACCCTTCGAGTCAAAACACAGTTCTTTCAATAAAGCATGGTGTATTCAATTCTTTTGTGGCACGGCCACTTTCTAAAAGAAAGGCTTGTTGCGAACTGTGAATTTCACAGAAGCACTATTCAACTCAAACCACGGTTGATATAAACCCAAATTGATCTTAAGGCAGGAATACATATCATGTTGTACCAAATCTCCTGCCTTTCACAGCTCGCAAGCCCTTCCCCTTTCCTTATGAGGTTTTGGGATCCTGCTGGATTCACAGCGGATGGCAGCGTTGAGGACTTCAAGCGACGTCGTCAGACTGAGTTGAAGCACGGAAGAATCTCCATGTTGGCCACCATGGGTTATATTACTCCTGAGCGACTCGTCTGAACTGAACGTGTCGTCACTAGCAGAACATGATATAACACAATTAGGTAACTAAATAGTCTGGAGTCCTCCGCGCGGGCGAGGGAAGGGACTCGCCTGCACTTTAAGTCTCTTGGCCGTCGCATGACCGGATGTTCGACCGTTGTTTGGCTTACAGTGCTTTGGGCGTGACGAACTCTACCCCCAGAGGGTGTCCCCAGCTCCTTCAGGGACGGTTCAACCTGTGTTCTCGCCAAGTTTTCGAAGGGACGAGTGCCACCGTCTCACTGGCGGCAACACTAATTTTGGTCGGGTTACTGACTCCGCGTGATCTGGGTCTGGAGTGTTCCCCTTTGGGGGTTCATCGTCGTCGTGAGTCCTCGTGTTGTCGCGCCGGGCAGCACTGGGTGGGCTGCCGGGCGAAGTTACCCTCGGTCCTCGTACTTGCGGTTCCGGGGCGGCACGCCGCCCCTTGATCCCACCCCGGAGCCCCTGTCACCACCGTGCTCGATTCCAACCATGAAGCTTTGGAATTTGCGTAAGAAGTGGAGAGCTCGAAGTAAGCGCAACTGGGTACTTCTACGGTACTTTAGCCGCACAGTTCCACATAACCGTCGCGGCAAGCGGTTGACCAGGTGGAAGATTGGGAGTTGGAATGTTCGCAGTTGGGGTAGGTGCCTTATGACCCATGGCACAAAACACAGAGTTTGTTCAGGTTAGCTATGTCCCGCAGATGGGATGCAATCTGTTTTAGCGATGTTCGGTTCCCTGTGGAAGGTCATCGTCACCTCACTATCTTGAGTACCCACTGGCACCTCGTCGTTCGGGGAAAAGTAGCCATTGCTTTGGGGCCTCGCCTCACTCAGGCTTGGAGACAAGGTGGATGCATTGAGCATACTTCCAGATCGCGTCAGCAACGCACGCTGTTGCTACGGATCCCGCGACAGGGCATGACAAAAGGAGTGTCGATCGTGAGCGTATACGCACCACAAAGTGGGGTTCCTGTTAGGATTACTAAGCAGGATTTTTGGGATCAACTCTCCACCACCCTCCGTGCTACCAAGAGCGATGATATCACGGTCGTAGGGGGTGATTTCAATGCGGATATTGCCTCACAATCCCACCTCATGTGGCCCCGTATCGTCGGGCAATGGGGCGCTACACGAACCAGCCCGCAGGGACGGGACCTGTTAAACTGGTGTAGCCAACATGACTTTTTGGTGGCCGACACCTTTTTCTCCCAACCACTTCGCAAACGCTACACTTGGTGGCATCCGGCCCGCCGAACCGGCCACGGGCTCGATCACTTCCTGGTTAAGGGACACTCGCGCAGGTTCATCGATTCGGCTCGCACCGTGCATGAAGGCCGCCGAGGGAACGCAGGGGAACCTTTAGGCAGACGGATCGCCGAGACCCGGCTGACCGGCTCTACTGGGATGACTTCACAGATCACCTACCCATTGAACTCTCGTTGCATTTCTGGCCTTTCTCCACGACGCCAGCCACACCATCTACCCACAGCGTCCCACACCCTCAGCCGCAAGTTGAACGACTGGCAATCCCAGGACCGACCTCGCGCCAGCTCCGCCAGAGATGGCATGACCTTCTCAACGCTAGCATTGCAGCCCAGGAACACACCCACGGCCCCCTCACTTGGGAGCAGCTCACGACTATCTGTCTGGAAACTAGCACGGCAGTCTTAGGCCGCAAACCCTGTGACCACCACCACCAGCCACACATGCAAGGCCATGAGCAGACCAATGCCCGACTCGACGCCGACGTGGCAGCGGCCCTGGCGCACAAACGCACGTTCTATCAAGATGTTCTCCCGCGCACCCAGGAGCGACAGGATGCATACCTCGCTGCAACTCGCGCGTGTAGAACTCTTAGCAAACAGCGCAAACAGACCAGACTCCGCTGGAAGAGAGAGTGGATAGATCGTCTCACTTTGGAACTAGAACAAGCCAACGCCCAGGGGGATACCCGAAAAGTGTATGGACTTATGCGCAAGCTGGGCATTCGACATGAGCTCACACGGGCGAAAATTACCCACACCTCCGTGGCGGACCCCATCACTGCCCGGGAGGAATGGAAGGACCATTTTCGACGCCTGCAAGCAGGTCGCGAGATAGCAGATGAAGCGGTATGGGCCCACGTGGATCCCATCGCAGAGGTGGCACACTGGCTGGAAGACCCCCCTACCGATGCTGAAATTCGAGGCTGTGGACTCAACATGAAAAACGGCAAAGCGGCCGGCGTCGACGGATTCTTGCCCGAATTCTATAAGTATGGCAGCCCTGACCTCCAACTTCGCATCAATGCCATTGTCCGCCAGATGTGGCAAGCAGCCCGATATGCCGCAGCAGGGGAGGAGGCGCAAGATTGGCCACCCAGCTGGACTGAGGGTTTAGTCGTCCCTCTCTGGAAAAAGAAAGGTGACAAAACTGACAAATCTACGTGGCGTGGGATTATACCCTCTTGAGCATTGGGTCCAAACTGCTAGCCCGGGTCGTGGCACAGCGTGTGCAGATTTGGAGTGACCCGTGGATCCCGGAGGCCCAGATGGGATCTAGGCGCGATCGGTCAGTGGACGATGCCCTACAAGTGACTCGACGTTTGGTCGAAGAGGCCACCGCCAGCCAGATGTCTGCCGACACTATGCTGCTCCGACTCCTGGACATTGAAAAGGCGTACCCTCGAGTATCTCGCGACCTTGTGGCGCCTTCTGCAACACAAGGGAGCACCACTCCGTTTCGTCAGCATTTGTCAGGCGCTGCATGAGGGCACCAACTACAGGGTTCGAATCCATGGAGGCACATCGTCACTGTATTCAGCGGACAAAGGGTTGCGAGGGGGATGTCCTAGCTCCCCTCCGTTGTTCAACTGCTACCATGCGGCAGTCATGGCGGACTTTCGCGCTTGGCGCGCAGCCTTGGCACAGGCCAACGATCTCACGCCAGGTGTGCAGTGGACGGTCAAGTGTGATGGGCGGGTCGGACATAACAGCCATAGTCGAGAACATCTCTCCCGGAAAACCCGGCAGGTGTGTATCGGCGATATCGGTTTCGCAGACGACACGACCTTGATCGGCGAAGCAGAGGAGGTACACCTCGCAGAACCGCTGCTGGAAGTGACCATGCGAGATTGGCGGGAGAAGGTGCATCCAGGCAAAACTGAAGGGTTACGTATCCCTGGCACGCCCCGACAGCCTACCGATGTCCGACATAAGGGGGAACAAGCTTGGGTTCGACATGTTGGTGGCATATTAGAGGAACAGGGGAGTCAGCGACGGGACACTACCCAACGCATTTCCGCGTCAGTGAAGCTGCATCAACTTGCCCGATCCTGGCACTTCGGTACTAGGTCTCAGCAACGCAAA